CGGTACAGTCTGATTTCGCTGCAGGTATGGATATTTCGTACCAAGCACCATTTCCAAGAAACATTGAAGCATTTCTCGCCTCGCAGGGTCGCGACGGTTCTGACAACTCCAGTGATTCAAATGACATGGAGATCCCTACAACGAAGCCCTCTCTGCAAGGTGCTGATGTAAACCTCACCCCTGCAGGTATTTCAAGGGAGCCCAGAGCTACACGACCCAAGGCACGAACAGACAGTCGTCCTGCAAAGACGCCGAAGAATGCAGCTAAGGCTCGAGGGTCGGTCGGTCGTCAAGTTCGGGAAGATCACTCCGTGCCCCCACCACCTCCCCCTCCTACCCCCCCGGCTCCGAGATCCTTTCAGGATAGATCACAGATGGTTGGAGCTTTGGAAGAGGTTGCTTCCCCCAGCTCCCCAGGCTATCCAGCAGCTCCCTCCGGCCCGCACAGTCGAACACACCCGGCAGCTCCCTCGTCTCGCAGGTCTAGGAAATCAAGTGCATCACGTCAGGAACCAGCCGACCCGCAGGTTTCCTCAGCCCTACAGGGGCGGACTCGGACTGCGCCCCCGGAATCTCCGAGGTTTGCATGGGATGCTCGACTTTTGGGTAGCTCTCAGCATTTGGAGACTGAGCATGGCATTGAGGGAGATGCCATTGGTGGTGCCATGTCTGTGAAGTTGGTAAGCTGGGCAGAACCCCTCAAGATCACCCCCTTCCCTGTGGATGTGGTGGAGAGGAATGCAAGGATTCTGCATGATTTGTACCAGTCTTCCAGGGTCCACCTGCCACCACAGATGGAATGGATGTTTCTAGCCAACCTCATTCAGCCGTACACCGGCCCTGTTGAGGAAATCTTTGATCAGGTGACCTTCTATGAATCGAAGCAACAGGTGTATTGGAAGCATCATCTGAAGAAGTTTTTCACCACGAAGCCCGCCGACCCTGCAGTGCATCGTTACACCCTGCTCTTCGCACATGGCACGAACTCAGGTGGTGCAGAGGGGATTATCAGCTCCAGGTACTTAGCCCCTGCAACGATCGCAGACGGCCCGACCGCCGTAGGACACTACAGTCAAGCAACCAATCGGGCAAGTGGCAATGTCCGGCGATTTTCCAAGGGATGGTCTCCACCCCCAGCAGCCACTGCGTACTTGATTCAGGAGGCGGACAGGACGCTCAACAAGCGTGTATGATCCATGCGGCAGTACACTTCAAAAGGGATCGGAAGTGGCTGCTTCATTCGGACTTGACTACAGTCTCCAGCGTGGTCATTGCAGTCCGGAAGCAGTTTCAGCCACGACCTGATCAGCTGGGGCGTCCACTGTTTCACTTAGGCCCCACTCATGCTGAGGAGGCCAAGAAACGACTGGGATAGATGAGTATCATCTTTTCTCCCACCTGTAATTATCTCAGGACGCATCATTGTTGCAGGTTTTCACTTGCAATCTGCAGGATCAGAGCCGCTCAATTTTTGCCCAAACGAAGCAGCTGCCCCGCAGGTATCCAGTCGCGATCTCTGCACTCTCTCTCTCTCTCTCTCTCTCTCTCTCTCTCTCTCTCTCTCTCTGACAAATTGATTTGAGCAACACCGTTTCATGCTGTAGCTTTTGAGGCGGTTCAGGCGTATCTTCTAGATCGTGAGATTCATCATGTCGCGCCGGGGCCGCAGACAAGATTCTCGATCCAGAAGCAGGGGACGAGGACAACCCAAACGACATCGGAGTAGGTCCCGGCCTTCCTTTGTCAGGGACCAATCGCAACGTCTCTCTCTTCCGCAATCTTGGCACAGTACCAGTTCGGAGTATGACTCGAATCGTGAATACGGTTTGAAGTTGCCTCGCAAGGTTCTTTCCAATCGGTTTACAAGAGATTTGAACATTGATGGCATGGACGTCATGGATGTGAAGTTGTCTCAGGTTACGACAGGAGGCAACACCAGCTGGGGATTGCGATCCCTGGTTAACGGCAGACACACTGTCTTTGAATCTTTCAAGTCTCGACAGGAAGCTATTATGGCAGGGACCTTGATGCGAGCCCTGCGTGGGGATTCTGCTGGTACATCAGGTGCAGATCTCAACGCCACCCTTACTCATATGACGAAGACCAATTTCCCAGGTCGAGACCCTTACCTTTGGGACAACAGATATGTGGTCATCAAGGAACTTGTTGAGCATTTGGCCAAGGTTGTTCAACAGAAAGGACCTGCATCGGCTAATCAATCGATGCTGGATCAGATTCGTCAGTTGCAGCGAGAGAATGCAAGGTTGAAGAGTGGAGGTCACAGCCGTGAAGCCGGACCGAGTGCAAGTGTACGACCGCCCTCGAAAGACATTAAACACCAGGAGACAAAGGACCCAGCTACCCCGAGGACTACTACCAGATCAGCACCCAAGAACTCAGGTTCGGCCAAGACCCTTCCGCCCCCGTCCTATCGGCGAGCCAAAGCCAAACCCACCGCAGAGTTGCCCAATCCGGTGGTTCGTAGCCTTGAAGATTGTTGGGTACCACGGAATGAAGCAGGAGTAGATCGCTATGACCCGGATGAACTTGCCACCTTGCCACCTCGTTCCCGTGAAGGTTCACCAGATCTCGCAGGATTCAGCGATGAGGCGCCGGCTGAAGAATCGCCAGACTACGCTGATCCATTAGAGACAGTGGATTCTTTTCGACCCCAGTCCGAGAACCCATCTTGGACGACTGTAAGCTTGACAATTTCAAGGTTGCTACAATCAACAGTTGGATTTCCTCGGCGGTTGGCAAAGAACGCATGAACCAAGTCCGTACAGCTGCAGATGAGCTGTCAGCTGCCACTTCTCGCCTTTCCCCAGGGAGCAGGCCAGCATTGGGTGCCATTGCAGTATCGCGGGGACTTCCGGTCAGTACAGCAGCGAAGGTTGGAGAGAAATCCCTTAGCATGTTAATCGCAACATGTTATGTGATAGGACAGGAGTGACTTCAGCCGACGCTGGAAGGGACCCAGGCACCACGTCGCACCAGGACATCTGACCAATCAGTGTCTCGTGCCCAGATGGTCCATTTTCTACGGATTTTCTTTCGATGGTTTTCCATGATACTTCCTGCACTCTTTCAACTTTTACCTCATCGAGTGCTTGATCGTCTACTTTGGATTCGTGCTCGACTTTTTGTACAGGCTGTACGATCCCCTTTTGGTTTCTTTTTCACAAAGTTTTTTCGCAAGCTTCGTGATCTCCTTGAGGTCAATCGAGTGCCGAGTGATTATTCATTCATGGGAGTGGCATACTCAGGAG